TTTTTTTTTCGTTTTGGAAAAAGTTCGATTTCGAGGAAGGAATGATGGGGCGATGCCATGTCGGATCAACGATCAGTGGTTGTGGAACAGCGAACGGAGGGCTGATCTCCATTCCCCCACAAAGTGCGATGGGGATTTGCTGTTTTTCTCTTTTTTTTTTTTCTTTTTTTTTTTTTGTATCTGAAAATTTTTATTTCGCAGAGGGCATGACACCCCTGGTCGGTCGGGGGTCCCGCGTTCCCGAAACGCCCTACCCCCTCCACCCTTTCCATATGGGGGTCCGGCGGATTGGAAACGCCGGACCTCCGACACCCGTGCACGGTCGGGGGTCCGGCGTTCCCGAAACGCCCTACCCCCTCCACCCTTTTCGGATGGAGGTCCGACGGATTGGAAACGCCGGACCTCCGACACCCGTGCTCGGTCGGGGGTCCGGCGTTCCCGAAATGCCCTACCCCCTCCACCCTTTCCGTATGGGGGTCCGGCGGATTGGAAACGTCGGACCTCCGACACCCGTGCACCGTCGGGGGTCCGGCGTTCCCGAAACACCCTACCCCCTCCACCCTTTTCGGATGCAGGTCCGGCGGATTGGAAACGCCGGACCTCCGACACGGACCTCCGACACCCGTGCTCGGTCGGAGGTCCGGCGTTCCCGAAACGCCCTACCTCCTCCACCCTTTTCGGATGGAGGTCCGGCGGATTGAAAACGCCGGACCTCCGACACCCGTGCTCGGTCGGGGGTCCGGCGTTCCCGATACGCCCTACCCCCTCCACCCTTTTCGTATGGGGGTCCGGCGGATTGGAAACGTCGGACCTCCGACACCTGTGCTCGGTCAGGGGTCCGGCGTTCCCGAAACGCCCTACCCCCTCCACCCTTTCCGTATGGGGGTCCGGCGGATTGGAAACGCCGGACCTCCGACACCCGTGCACGGTCGGGGGTCAGGCGTTCACGAAACGCCCTACCCCCTCCACCCTTTTCAGATGGAGGTCCGGCGGATTGGAAACGCTGGACCTCCGACACCCGTGCTCGGTCGGGGGTCCGGTGTTTCCGAAATGCCCTACCTCCTCCACCCTTTTCGGATGCAGGTCCGGCGGATTGGAAACGCCGGACCTCCGACACCCGTGCTCACTCGGGGGTCCGACGTTCCCGATACGACCTACCTTCTCCACCCTTTTCGGATGGAGGTCCGACGGATTGGAAACGCCGGACCTCCGACACCCGTGCTCGGTCGGGGGTCCGACGTTCCCGAAACGCCCTGCCTCCTCCACCGTTTTCGGATGGGGGTCCGGCGGATTGGAAACGCCGGACCTCCGACATCGGCACGGATGACGGGGCCTGGGGGTCGGGCGTTCCCGAAACGCCCTGCCCCCGCCATCCTTCCTGGGTGGGAAGGGGGGCCCATCGGAATGGGATCCCTCGACCCCTTGCCTCGAAAGGATGGCGAGGGTCCGGCGGGCTGGGAACGCCGGACCCCTCGACCATGCACGGTTGTCTGGTATGCAGCGTTCCCGATTTCGCAAACCCCCCTTGCCGAAAGAATGGCGGGTGTATGGCGGGTCACGTGCCTTCTTGAATGTCTCGAACCACGTGCAAGTGCTTCTGTGTGTTGCTCATTGCTGTTCTCCTGCCCATCTTTGTTTTGCCTATGCCCCCGGCAGGTAAACCTGGTGCGCCGACCTCTGCTCAAAATAAACGGTACGGCAGGTCTAAGACTTACAACGACAAACCGTGGGCTCTTGACTGGGTAGGCGGTTTGCATAAACCGGGGTGTGGGGCTGTTATCTTCTTGAACGATGACAACGGCGCCACTTGGTACTGTTGTGGGGGTGTGGAGAAATCCGAGGCGGGCAGGAAGACCTACGAAGGGAGGACGTTCAGGACCTTCTTCCTCACGTCCGTCTTCGACAGCGCTGGGACAGATTGGGTCAAGGAAGACAAGAAGGTCTCCCTTGACCTACGTCTCTTCCAAGGATACGGCGTCAAGGCTTTCTCCATGAAAGCGTTTCACGTGCGTGGGGACGGAACTGAATTCCGCATGCTTTCTCCGGAAGAATTTCTCAGCAAACCAAACGCCAACCGCGTCACTGGCTGCCTTCCTGTCGTCGACAGTTCTTTTCAGATGAGCAAACCTTTGGTCCAATTCAACAGTCCGATGGACCTGCTGCCAGGTGTGGTTAAGCGGTACAGGAAAGACTTCTCGAAACTACCGCCAGACCAGCAAGCGGACTGTGTTTTTTTGCCCTTCGAGGCGGGTTCCAAGAGCAGGCGACAAACGTTGTCCGCAACAACAGGGAAGATAAAGCAGTTGCCGGGTGGGCCGTCGGGTGTGAATCTTCCCTCGCCCTCCGTGAGGGGAGGTCGTGATTTGGCTCAAGGTTCAAGCGAGGCAACGGAGTTTGATGACAGGCTTCTGCACCAGTGCAATATTGGCCGTGAAAATTCCCGAGGCAGTGCAGTTGCCCTGGACGAGGACAACGACGAGGACGAGGAAGAAGGAAGTGTCGGCCCGCATGACGACGGCGGTAATGAAGCAGATGTGGAAGTTGGGGATGACAACATGCAGGACCGGGGCGCGCTTGCTGACGAGGACGCTGACACACCAATGCATGGTCATGACATCTCCCCTGTCGGCGCTGTGGGAGCCGCACGTGGTCAGCCCTCGACGTCCCGTGGGATTTCGCTATCGCAAAGCAGGAGTAAGGGTGGGCACGACTCACATGCAATGCAAGGACCGAAGGCGAAGAAAAGGACAAGGGAGACTTCTCCGTCTGCTTCAACTCACAAGAGGCAAGCCAGGATTGACGCTGTTAATGAGGCTCGTGGAGCTTTGACAGCGTCCCAGGAGGCGCGGCCTCCTCGGAAAAACAACCAAGGGGGGCGATCTGGGGGTCAAGGCGGTGGCCGTGAGGGCGGTGGCCGTGGCGGGGCGCGGAAAGGCTCCCAGAGGGTGAGACCACAAGAGCTGCGGGACTCGAGGGATGAGGGCGAGGGAGTGGATCCTCGCATGCCCGAAGATGCTGATGAGCCAGTTCAGCGCGTCGCGCCTATCGACACTACGCGTTGTTTCTTCCTCGAGTACGATGACCAAGGCTTTGCTACGCAAGACATCTATGCTGTTCGCGTGGACGTCATGAGAATCAAACGCATTCCCCGCGGAAGGATTCTTTTCAACCACCGCTCGTTGCCTGAAAACATTGTGCGAGGCATGGAGAATGCCATCGAAAGCTCCATCAGCACGGACCCGTGGGCGTGGGATAGGCCCGAGCTCTTGCTTGCGCCAGTTGACCGCAATAACATTGTCGGCGGCCAGGGAAGAGGGATCACGCCGACCGAATTCTTGGAAAGGGACCCGGCAGAGTTCGACTGGCACACTGTCTGTGGTTAGCATACCGTTGAGGCCATGAAGAGATTGGTCAGAAAGGACTCCCCGGCAGTTAAAGTTTATGGCCTCAACGCGTACTCTAAGGTGCGGGTCATCTATTTCGGAGATGATCAAACACGAGGGTATTTCAATGTCTCCTGCTTCGACAACACACGCGAAAATCGCTCCATGATGTTGTCATTCGAGGACGCCGTCCGTGACATCAGGCAATGGTGGAGAGACAACAATAGAATCGAGGCCCCCAAAGCCAAGGTCAGCGAGAAGGATGACGTGGTCGTTGCACATCAGAAGACGTGGCAAAACTTCTTGAGGGCCTGCATGGGGAAGGCATGCGACAAGGCGTTTGTAAAGCAAGCTCTCGAGAATGAGTACAGTAAGGACTGGAGTAATAAACTCCGGGGCTACATGAACCTCGCCACATCCAGTGTCACAGTGTGGCCGCTGGTCGAGAGGTTTTTCAAGATGTTCAACGAAGGAAAGCTGCCAGTTAGCGATGGCAAAATCCCGCTTGACATGCCCGGGAGGATGGAAGGCCGCCTGCCAGGCCCGTACACCGACGAGACCAAGGGAAAAAGAACATTGTACCACTGCATATATGCAACATATGGTCCCAAAGGCTCCACCGTGTCGTGGAAGGATCTCTGTCCTTCCTACTTCAAAAATTTTCGGGATTTGACATGTCGTGAGAGGGAAGTTGCGTTGCTCCTGCTCATGAAGGGGAAGGTGGTCGCAACGAACGTCAAGGTCTTGCCTCCAAGAGTGAACACAGAGTGTCTCCTCGACATCGTGCGAAAGGAGCGGTACATGGTGTGTATGTTCAATTATATTCTGTTCTGCGCGGAGGGAAGGGTGGACGACGAATGGAACGACGCGTTCTTCATGTCGTACAAGGACCTCGAAGACAGGTATGGCCAAACGGTCTGTGCGCTGCTGAATGGGAGAAGGAACGGGACAAGTTACATGTCAATAAGGTGAAGATGGTCCCTCGACGACTTGGAGGAGTGGAGGAGGAAAGGCAAGGTGCGGGCTTGGGGCCTACGGCGGCAATGTATAAGGAGGCTCTGTTTCACCTTAAGGTCTTCATATACACTGCAATCGATAAGCTCGATTTGCATCGCGCCGAGGTGAAACGGATCGCCTCCAGCGCGCGTCATATTGTGTGGGACAAGCCTGGCAAACAAACAACGTTGCTACCTGTGTGCATGCCATCGAAGGAAGTGTTGGCAGCGCAAGACGACATCATCGTTGCAGCCCAAAAAATGACATGCAGGGCCGCCATCGTTGACATCCCATCCTTGAACTTCAGCACGGCGTGGACCTCTCACGAATTTGATGCCTTGCACACACTGATGACCAAGTGTTGTGGCCAGAATTGGATTTTTTTTCTTCTTTGCGCCGCAGAAGGTGCAAAGCAATGTTCTGCGTCACTTGTTCCGCTGGGAGGACGTCGAAGTCATCCCCGGGACCTGGAAACGAGTGGACAGGCCGCCGAACGACATAACACGATACGGCAATATGGCTACGACGAGTCGAGATATGATGGCCATTGTCCTGCACGCCGAGGGAGGGGATCTAAAAAAAGTAACTGTCAAACCCCGACTCCACAACGACCTCACAACCGTACACGTTGTGGAGGAGAAGTTTGAAAAGTGTCAAGGAAAACACGGTGGGATAGAGGGCGATGATAGTGCGGTGTATTCCATCTGCGAGCGAGAGCCTGGAAAATTGCGTTCGTTGTGCGGGTCATTTGTCGGAGATGTGGAAGGTGTGCTTTTGTTGGGTAGAGCGCACGCCGGTCTTGTGTGGGAGTTATTACAGGCAGGTAATAATGTCATTGCCTGCGACGAGTCGGCCAAGGACATTGCATTTCTGACAAAGTTCGTCGATATACTTGTGAAGGATGAGAGATTCGCCTGTCATGTCGAGAAGCCACGTTGCAAACATCGTAGCAACAGAGACATGTTCCACAAGTTGGGGCGCAAGAGATTGAAGGTGTGGGAATACCTGTTCCGCGATGCGCCGCAAGGACGGCTTAACAGGAATTACATCTACAGGAAAGCAAAGGTGATAGAGACCCTGAAAAATTATCACGGTGCTCTTACTGGCGCCTTTGAGACTTTTGTTGCTCGATGCGAGATCCTGAAGTTTGATCTTTATAAAGACCACCTGACGTCCAAGTACTACGCTGACCTCGCGAATTCGGGTGACGGCTTTAACCTCATCGACAGCGAGGAAGACTCTTCGGAGTCCGACCTCGAATTGGGCGAGGACAAGGGTGGTGAAGGTCCGGGCGGTGGCATGGTGCGGTCACACGATGAAGGGACCGTTCGCTCGTATGAAAGACCCGTACCGGTGGACGCCCACAGTGTTGGCTCGATGGTGGCCCCCATGGAGGGCACCGATTTGCCAAACATGGGAATATGTGGTCCCGATGATGAAGATGACATTGATATGCCGGGCGAGGCGTCAAAGCTCGCACCAGGCGATTCAATTCCTCCCGGCTATTGTGCTGATCCGACCACAATTTATTTCTTGGGGGGCAAACACGCCCGCACTGGTGAGGACAAGTGGGGCCATGACATCGTGTGGCATTAGGGCATTTTTTAGCCCTGCATCCAAGATGGGGAGTGGAAGATGGCGGTCAAATACACACACGGATGGCAGACGTTTCGCCGGATGTCAAAGGACACTTGGCTGAAAACGACGGAACTCGCGATTATGTACCGCGTGCAAAAGGAGAATCCGGGGCAGAGTGAGGGCGCTGTCAAAGACAAGGCCAAAGAATTGTTTTCTGTATTGCGAGACAATCAGCAGTTGGAGTACAGTTGGAAATTTTACGCCCTGCGAACAAGTCTCACATGTGGGTCAATCGACTGGAAGGTCAATCAAACTATCGGAACCATGGAGGAGAGCAGCTCTCAGGATGTCGTGCCTTTGTCGGCATCGCCCCCCGTACCCACGCAGGCAGGGCAGAGGGAGGATGACGGGACTACTGTGGTGAAGACTCAAGAGGTTCACATGACGTCTATGCCGCAAATCTCCGTCGCCGTGACAGAACCGTCCAAACGCATGGATGTGTCAAACGCATTGTCCTCAGATGCAGGTGCCACGTACGGGAGTTTATTACTAACATGCGCCGCATTAGAAGGCACATCCAAAATGCAGTCAGAGTCAGGTGTTGGCCTGAGCGTGCCGGACAGTCAGTTGCAACCGGAGTTATGCACAGGCAAAGGTGATGCACAATCACCGCTGACACCACAGGGAGGGGTCGTTGCGGATGGTAGGAAGGGAGGGGATATGGAGGGAATCCTTCATCCTCGCAATCTTGAGACCTTAACCGATGATTTTGATTATGGGGGTGAGGGTGGAAACGACGTGGTCAATACGAGGGGAGTGTGAAATGATCGGTGAGGCGGGAGGGGGGCAATGGAGAGGGAGAAACCAACGATATGATTATAATGTTATTCTTTTCTTTGTTGATTGAAATCGCACAATTGACTCGTTTGTTTTTAGTTTCAAATGGAACTAGTATTAGTCTTCGTAGGCACTATGACCACCTGATTTTCTTTTATGTATATATATATTTTTTCCTCAATATTACCTTCGACCTAAGATGTTTATGATACTTGCCCTTTTCGACGTAGGTGTGTGTATGCGGATGTATTCGGACTTGGATCTCTCTCTCTCTCTCTCTCTCTCTCTCTCTCTCTCTCTCTCTCTCTCTCTCTCTCTCTCTCTCTCTCGTTCCGACTTGGATGTGTGTAAAAGCCAAACATGCGTAAATGCAAGTAAAAGATTAGAGAAACATTGAAAACATGCGTTGCATGCATTAGCTCCCACAAAGCATTTGGCCATGCACTCACCATCCTTTCCCCATCCGCCCGCGTGAATGTCGTCTTCCTCATGTTTGTGGTGTGCAGTGCAAATGACAACAACTGATACAAGATTGTGCAAAAGAGGATGGACAATGCATCTCACAACTTCGTCTTTATCAAAAGGGGAGACGACGACCTTGACGCGTATCATCCACGGATACGGGAATAGGTATTCCACAGCCACCACACACGACGTATACATGAACGAGGTGTTGCAACTCACTCGCATCAATTTTCTTTTACTCGCTGTAGAATGTCAGTGGTTAAACGACAATGTCATCAACTTTTACCTCAATCTCATAGCATTGGACAACTGCTGTAGAATACAACACGTAGAATACGATGCGGAGAATGAGACAGTTATTAGACAAGGAAAGGGTCGCATTCCAAAAGTATCGGGGTATAGCTCATTTTTGTTCGTCAAACTTTTCGACAATGAAATGAGATATAGAGGTCGAGAGGTAGAACGGTGGTGTCAGGACGTTATCATAAGTGACATGGACTTGATTATTGCTCCTTTCCATATCGAACACAAGAACCACTGGACCCTTGTCGTGACTGACTTCAGGAGGAGGAAATTCGAATTTTACGACTCCCTCGACCCCGACATGGAGTTGGCGAGAAAGGTGACCGACGGGTCTGCAAAGTTTATATTCGAAAGATCGAAATCGCAAGGCAAAGAGGTGGACACGAAACCATTCAATCACATATGGAATGTAGAGGGCATTCCGAAGCAACACGACACGAACGAGTGCGGGATCTTTGTGCTCACGTACGCATCACTGTTGGCACGGGGCCAACTTCCACCTTTTTTTTTCACCGCTAATGATATACCCGCAATACGTCATCGAATGGTTTTGGACACAGTGGCTCGTGAGTAGTGTGTATATGATAATCCATAATATGATTTGGAGGGGGGGCGGATGCCACAAGATGGTTTGTGACAAAAACAATGTATATAAGGTGTCAAATATTACTCGATACATTGTGCCACTTGACCCTTGCAATTTACCACATATCCCTTACACCTCACCCCTTACACCTTACCCCGTTCACCTCACACCTTGCCCCTTACACCTTACCCCATACACCTTACCCCTTACCCCTCACCCCTTACACCTTACACCTTACACCTTACACCTTACACCTTACACCAAACATCTCTTTGTAATGGTTTTTGCACCTAAATCAACTCAAAAATGACAATTTCAATTTCGTTCAAAAAATATAAAATGTCCGTTTTGACGAAATCGTTGTTACTCGTCCTTGGTTCAGAGCTACAGGGGCCGCGGCTGGTGGGGGTTGATTACGTTTCGGCTGCGGACAGTCCCGGGCAAAATGTCCGAGCTGTTTGCAGTTAAAACACTCAAACTTTCCTGCTGGATTGGCTGGGTGAGGGAACTATGGTGCATACCCAGGTGCAGGCGGGGCAGGCAAGAGTGGAAATGACGCGGGGGCAGGTCGAGCAGGGGCCGGGTTGGGCTTAATTAGCCTGCTTATTATCTGTTCCATCCGCTCCATGTGACTGCCTGCATTTGAACCAGGTTGCTCATCCATTCAGATTGCTTGGTGGTGGCCGTATGGATCATTTGGGCAAGATGTAAGTTTGTTACGGCCAGAGAGGGAGAAGCGTTCGGGATTCCGCTTTTAACTGTCGCTACCTATGGATTGGTCGGTGGCAAAGACGAAGGAGCTGATGGGATATCAAAGGCGGTCCCGTCGGGGTGGTCATGGGGATAGAACCGTTATACTGCCCGCAACCACGATCGTCTTTTAGCTGCTACATCCTGTATCGTATCCGTGATGTCTTCGTCTCCCTGACTGATATATTTCTTTGTATCGGCCAGGTGTAACTCGAGGGCTTTAGCGATGATAGCAGACAGCTAGTGAGTTTTCGGGGGAACCTTTTTCCGTAACTTCCCTTTCCGTAGATGATCGATGAACAAATCTCGAGCGGATTTCTCATCTCGCCCAGATTTATCCAACGTGGTTTGAAATCGATCCACGAAATCAGGCAGCAATTCCTGTGGTCCTTGCTGCCGATTTTTTAGCACGTACCAGGCGGCATCTTCACTGGCCGTATCGAATCGGGCCAAGAACGCTTGTTTGAAAGTATTCCAATCTACCCACATGTGCTTCCTGAACCAGTCATGCGACGTATTGCGAAGTAGCAAGGTAAGAACGCGGGGAAGATCACCCGCGCTGTATCCTTGAGCTTCGACGGCTTCCAACCAAGCTTCGGGGTGGGTATGGTTAGGGAAGAAGGGGAAGGGGGCAGGAATGTTAACAATCACCCTATTACCTTCTGCCATTGGCATAGCGGGTACAACCGCACCAGATCGAGACCTGGTCACTGGGCGGTCTCTTCGAGCTGGTTGACGGCTTCTTCTACCTCTCGCCAGTTCGACTTACTATCATCAAAACCGACACGTGTCGGCTCCGATACCAACCTCACGCCCTGTGCTGTCTTTCGTTCGAAGTGCTAGAGGTGCGGAAAAGGGGTCCATAAAAACAGGAAGATGGGGTGTGTCAAGGATTTTTGAAAATTGAGTGTGGGGACACAGACGGAACAGAAATCCCCCGTGTTGGTCCGATGAAGTAAGTCGACCGTTTTTCGCGCGTCGCAAAATGCGCGCGGGAGTTCGGCGCGAAAAGAGAGAGAAATACAAATTCAATCTAAAAAGTATTGACGGACTTCCCACCGTGCTACGGCCCTTCGTTTAGAGCGAAAAAGGCTTCGGCACGCTTTGCATGTCTCGTCTTCGTATTAAGTCTCGGCGTCGTTCACCAGTCAGTTCTGAGTCCGACGTGGAGGGCCTCGGTCATGTGGCTTTTTCTCTGTGTTCGTCTTCACTCCGTACGCAGTAGTGGACACCCTTGGATTTGTAGCGCTCAAAGCGCTGGCACTCGGTGCATAGAGTGCGAGGCCAGTGGAGTTCTACTGTCGTCCACGGGATGACGATCAACTTGTTAAATGGCAACAATATCGAGTAAGGTGGAAAGTGTGTATCGATAATGACAAACCTAGCCTCTACGAACCCTGAACAACGATTTTCCGGAGGGAAGTAATACCGTCCGTCGATCCATGCGACAGCTTCTCGTACGTCCCACTCGCATACACGTGTCCTTTCCTCGTCGTAAGGAAAAGGTCGCACCGATACGGGAGATACGGGAGGCTGACGCCCGATCGAAGGGCGTTTGTCAGTCCACATGTCAATCATCAAGGAAAAATACTCACACGATCACTAATCAATTCTTTTAGACACAAGAGAGAGAGAAAACACTCATTAGTTTGATTATGCATGTAACTGAGGGACCGACCCAAGACTCAGGTTTAGTAAGCCACCGCGGCGTTGATCCAAGGCGCCTTGTTTCTCAAGGCTGCCCGGTATATCGGTTGCAGATGTCGTGCAACATAAGGCAGATGACATGCGCAGTGCATTCAGAACTACAGATCTAAACACTCTTGCATTCTCGAACAAAATCCCGCCGAGCGCTCTCTCTAATCAACACAAAAAGGCAAGTATCTCCATACATACATTCACTGTGGAAGGTGCGAAAATGACAGGGGTGCGCAGGTCGGAAATCAACAGAAGGAATTGTACACACGCATCCACCATTCACAAGACAAGATCAATTCCTCAAAACCCGGGGATTATCCAGGAAACTAATGGAAGAGTTCCGGAAGAAGTTCCTTAACACAGGAGAGCACATAATTTCATTTCATTCATGAGAGGGACAAGCATCAAGACACATCGTCATTAAAAGATAGACGAGAGAAAGAGAGACGAGGGAGGAATGTCGAGATGGGAGATGACAAGATCCGAAAAGAGGAAGTTCGACGTTGCTGCCGTACACTCACGCCGGAGATAAAGATTCGAACATAGTATTCGTGAAAACCAAACAAACGTAGAAAACCAAACAATCTTTATAAACCGAACAAGACCAAATTTTTTCACTCATTTTCACTCCGCTGGTGCTACGTTTACACGTTGTATGTCGCACCTAGTGATGGAAAACATACCAAATCAAGGCTCCTATTAGGAAAAGGTGATTAGTGCGACGAAAGTTTGTCCACGGAGCCTCATTTTTATCACATATAAAAGCAGGTTAACAAGTGATCCCAAAAGCCGCTCGTAGTCGAGAAATGAATTCTTTGCTCTGCTGAAACCGCGCAAATATGACAATTCATTCCACAACACTAGATACCACTTACAAACTTAGAGAAAAGTTAAGAAAACCGAGGCAGGATAATGGTCACTCAAAAATCTATTTGGTTGTACGAAAGCAGGACATCTTGGAATATGCACCTTTGGAGTCCTTTCATTAAAGAAGCAGAAAACAGATGCAGTTCAGGCATCCCGAATTCCGTTTGTAGTTCTATAAAGCAAGCGACAAAGACACACTAGAAAAAAAGAAAACAAAGAAGCACTCCGAAAATGTGCGTCCTTGTACATCTTGACATTTGCGTATTTATAGTCCTATAAATTGGAAAGCAAAAAACCATGTCAGCTTCGGAATTCTCCATTCCGTTTATAGTTCTATAAACCGTGACGCACAAACATGCGAGAAAAAAAAAACAAAGCAGCACTCCGAAAATGTGCGCCCTTGTATCGAAGCCAGACATCTTGACATTTGCGTATTTATAGTCCTATAAATTGAAAAGCAAAAAACCATGCCAGCTTCGGAATTCTCCATTCTGTTTATAGTTCTATAAACCGTGACGCACAAACATGCGAGAAAAAACAACAACAAAGAAGCACTCCGAAAATGCGCGCCTTTATACCAAAGCCAGACATCTTGACATTTGCGTATTTATAGTCCTATGAATTGGAACGCAAAAAACCATCTCTGCTTCGGAATTCTTCATTCCGTTTATAGTTCTATAAACTGTGACGCACAAAGATGAGAGAAAAAGGCGAATGGTTACAC